TCTTATACTTTCGAGGTGGTTCTGTAGTGTAGTCTCACAGGATTTGTTCCCATTCCCAGCATGCCAACTGATGCTGCAGCAAAGCCTGAGCAGCCTGCACTTACTCTGGCTCATGCATGCCCCAGTGGATATAGCCAGTTGACCCAGTCTGACTCCTGCTAACCCAGCTCAATGCAGGCCAACAAGTGTTGTAGCCCTGCCAAGTCTGGTCAGCCCCATGTCCTAGGTCTCCTGCTCAGCAGTGGGTACACTGGCAAGGCAGGGGAGCCCCTACAGTACCCCTCCTGGGATTTTCCCCCACCACCCAAGGTCTTACATGTGGTGGTGGGTGCTGTGGCTAAGCTTGGAGTGGCCTGCCATGTATCCTGGCTTGACCTGGCCTGCCCCTAGTTCTGGCACTAAAGGGAACTGGCTTGTGTTGTGACCCAACTCAGCCTGTCCTGTACCCCATCCTGGTTCTTACATCTCCTAGTGGGTGCTATGAACTGGCCCAGCCTGACCTGCTCCCAGACCTGACCCGCGTTGGGAGAGCTGCCCAAAGCAAAGCTGCCAGCCTCTTACCAATCTAGGGATCTCTATAGCAAAGACGACCCCATGACAGTGGCCCCTAGGTGCTGTGGCTCCAGCACCATCCTTACCGATCACCCACCCTCATCCTGCACCTTCTCCTCAGTAATGCTGCCACGCCGTCACTGCTCCATTGGAACCACTCACAGCTCGGGTTCACTAAGCAACTCTTGAAAACCAGAGTTCCAAAGAGAGAGAGAGAGAGAGCTCTTTCTTCATTGGTCCCTCAGGTGTCCCCAAGAGCCAGCTCTGTGCTAGCCTGAAGTCAAGAGCTTTCTCTGGGTTTCCCCCCCATGGGTGCTGGGGCCTAAGCACTTGGGTCATCCTCTATTGGTTCTCCTGGTGCCATTACCAGGAAGCTAAAACATAGGTGGGCAGCTAGGACATTTACCGCCTTCCATATGGATCCCACAGCACTGGAGGTAATTTTACCCACTTTGCCATGACACTGGCAGCAAAAGCAACATTTCTAATGAGGGACTTGAACATTGTCGATTGTTGTATCTGCAGGGGTTTCTGGAACCTGTACCCTGTTGCACTGTGATGCTGGAGCAAACAGCTGAAACACAGCTTCGAGGAGGATGGAGGATACAGGCAGGGTCAGGGCCAGCTGTGGATTTTGTTCTGTCCACAGAATAAATTTTGGTCAGAGCCAACATTTGCTGTTGAGTAGGATGGTTAGTATAGATCCAGAGTTAACGACTGGCTTGATCTGCCCTCTGTGGTTGCTGATGGGGTGTTGCTGGCCTTGTTCTCCAGTTTCCTGTGAGGTGACCTTGGTCTCCAGGGAGGAGGTGCTAGGAGACATGTAGGAGGCAGGGAGCCTCATCTGAGCTATGCAGAACAGACTTACCACTGTACAGAATGATGGTAGACACTGACAGCGTCCATGGCTTGCTACAGCCCTCACTGCTGCCTGGTGCTGCCCTTCCTTATCCCACGAGGAGGACTCCTCAGGGCTCTGCCAGCACAGCTGAGCAGGTATAGGGCTTCCTTCCTCTCACATTCAGCTGGCAGCTTCTTCTCAGGTCCACAGGAAGCCCATCCACAGTGGGTGAAGCTTCTGCTTGGCCCTAGCCTGCTGGCATCACCCCCTTGTGCCTGACTCTGCCTTTGTCCGTGTCCCCTGCCTGTTGGTCCTGATGTTGGAGTGTGTAGCCAGAGCTGTCCTCTCTTGGAGTGGGACTTCACAGCTGGTCCCTTGGCTGGGGAACCCTGGTCCCCACAAAGGAGGAAGTACATGGCTCTGCAAGGAATAACTGCAAGGAATACCTGCAAGGAATAACAAAACAGCTCACAACCAACTCTTGTTACAAGAGAAATTTTTTTTTACCACAAAGAGATTTCTCTAAATATTTAGTGTAGTTATTTGAAAGGTAGAGTTATAAAACAGACTGGGAGAAATCCTCAATTTGCTGGCTCCCTCCCCAAATGGTTGCAATGACTGAGGCTAGGCCAAACCAAATGCAAGCCTGGGATTTCATCTGGGTTTCCAATGTGGGTGATTGCCAGGGGCCCAAGTACTCAGGCCATCTTCCCCTGCTTTCCCCACACATTAGCATGGAGCTGGATCAGAAGTGGAGCAGTTGGGTCTTGAGCTGCTCTATAGGATGCCAACATTTGCAAATCATGCATTAACACAGTGTACCCCTGTGCTAGTCCCAGGAACTTCTAGAATGAGACCTGTCAGAAGCAGGCAGTCTCTAAGGCAGTCTTGGTAACCCTACTTTTGGGTGCTCGTGGCCTGGCCAAGTCCCACCCTTGGGCTTGGACCTGCTGTGATTAGATTACACAGACAGTGGTTTTGTCTTGAATGTGTGACCTCTCACTGTTTCCCTGGTCTATTGAGTTGGGAAGCAGATGGCCGCATGGGACAGCCCCACTTGCCTGATCTGGCAAGGAGCCCTGGGTCCTGCTCATGGCCATGTGTGTGAGTCTGGATGCTGACCTGTGTCCCGCAGCAGCGGCATGCTGGGCAGGCTTCAGGCTTGGCTGCATGCAGGTACTTGGGTGAGGATTCCGGGAATGAATTTCCCTCTGACCTAGGCACTGCCAGTCTGTCCTGGATGCTGCTGCTGTTTGGATGTGGTTGTCGCCCAAGAGTTGGATGTTGGGAGTCTCAGGATGTGGTGATGGCCCTTCGGTTCTCAGGGGTGGCCCACAGAAGGGATTTGGTAGATTGTCATGGGATGCTGCCAGTTCTCATAAGAGGCCAGAGGGATATTAGAAACAGGGCAGGCTTGGCCCTCCCTTGCTCTGGGGCCTATTTCAAGATTGGACTTACCTGCCTCGCTCCCCTGTCCCGCCCCCATCATGTACAGATGGAACTATTTTCAGTTTGCACCTGGCTTAATCTGAGGATGATGAACTGCAGGTGTGGAGGGTGGGCTGTGTTTTGTGCTGATATAAAAGCAGGCTTTAAAAAAAAATGCGTAATCCAATGGAGTTAAAAGATTTTCCGGAGCAGGCATCTGGCCTAGTGATTAAGACACCTGTGACCTGTATCGGGGCACCTAGATTTGCTTTCCTCGTCTGGCTCCCAGCTACAGCTTCCTCCCATTGAGGACCCAGGGAGTTAGCAGGGCACAGCTCCCCTGCTTGGGACCATGCCATCCATGTGGGAGACCCAGCTGGGGTCTCACTCCTGCCATTTGGGGAGTGAACCCGCAGGAAGAACACTCTATGTTCCTGTGTCTGTCTCTTTCTGTCTCTGCCTCTCTAAACACTAGTTTATTTTGTAGCAAAAATGAGATTCCTGCAGTTTTGTGAAAATTTTTCATATGTATGGACCTCAAAAGTTTTTTGGCACTGAAATAAACTTATCTTTAGCAATACTATTACTGCTTGTTTGAGAGGGAGAGAGACAAGCTGATTCATCTTTCAATGCCAGCCATGGCCAGGGCTGGGCTGAGGTGGAAGCCAGGAGCTGGAATGCAATCCAGGGCTCCCCCACGGGAGGCAGCAGCCACCCACCTGCTCCCACTGGGGTGGCACTGGCAGGAAGCTGGAGTGAAATCCTGGCACTCCCCCAGGATAGGCTAACTGCTGCCTCCTAAGCTGGTCTTCTGGTGCTATTCCATGAACACTGATAGTCACGCAAGAGAGTCAGGAGAACACCTGCCTGCCTATCTCCTCGGGAATGCACAGTTCTACTGCAGGGACAGATGTTTAAGGAGGAACACTCACATGAGGACTTTGGGAGGGATGCCTCGCTGTCTCTGAGCAGCCGCTTTGCTGATGGTTGCAGGCGGTGAGAGCAGAAACCAAAATACTTGTGATAGAGAAGCAGCCCCACCCCTTGCTGAGACAGCTTGGCACACACTTTATTTATACATTTATTTAAAGATTTCTTTCTTTTTTTGGAAAGTGAGACATACAGCGAGGAGATCTATCCACTGATTCACCATCAAAGGGGCCGCTATGACCAAGGCTTAGCTGATACAAATCCAGGTGCCCAGAGCTGCTTACTGGCCTCCCACGTGGGTGCAGGATCTGAAGGCTCTGGGCTGTCCTTGACTGCTTTCCCAGGCCACAAGCAGGGAGCTGGAGGGGAAGTGGGGCTGCCGGGACACGAATTGGTGCCCATGTGGGATCCCAGTGCGTGCAAAGCAAGGACTTTAGTTGGTAGGCTACCAGGCCAGGCCCACGTGCTTTATTTAGAGAGAGTGTTTCAGACAGTGGACAGAGTGAGAGTTGGGTTTCTGGCATCCAGGTTTTGAGTTTAGTTTCTCCCTGTCTGTGTGCCTTGGAACAAGCGACTTCTATGAGCTTCAGCTGCCTGTCATTCAAGTGAGTGGGGGCTGAATGAGAGTGTGGGCCAGAGTTCCACTGTGCATAGCAGGTGCACAGGCCTAGGGATTGGGGAGGAGTCCTGTGGCTGACATCAGCCAGCTGGGGTGGGACTGTCTCAGGGGCGTTCTTGTCCTTGTGTCCCTGTGGGATCAGTGGCTTATGGCCCTGTCCCTTACATGGCCCATGGTTCTGTCACTTATAGCTCCTTTTACCATGTTTGTTTTGTGCCTTGTAAATGCCTTCAAATGGGAGAAAGGCAAGGCCTTCGCCCCCTTCCTCTGGGCTTGCAGGTCTGACTGGGCCTTCCAGTCTCCCCTGCACCTACATCCTGGGTCCTGCACCTACATCCTGCCCAGGCCCCACTCAGTACAGGGCTCTGATACAATGGCCCTCCTGCACCTGGAGGAAGGTGAAGGGACTGTGTGAGACAGCTTAGGAGTTTGGGCTCAGTGTCTTCCCTGAGAACCCAGCAGGGACTTCCTGTGAAGGTGCTAGGAAACCCCTCCTTATTCAGAAGTATGGAGAGCAGCAGGAGTCCCATCCTGAGCTGGCCTAGCCAGGGCACTGAGGGCCATGTCTCTCCAACCCCAGTTGGAGAGGCCATGCCAAGCCTCTCCTCAGAACCCCCCTTTTCCCTGCAGTCCTTGAGCCTCATCGAGATCAGGAACCCTTCCCAGAGCCTGGAGAACGTCTGCCACTGGGCTTGCCTGCAGCAGAAGCCAGACACAGACCACGACAAGTACCACGATCATGCCATTTTCTTCACTCGACAGGACTTCGGGCTGTCAGGCATACAGGTAAGCTGCCCTCAGGTGAAGAATTGTGGTGGAAAGGTAGTGGGAGGAGTGTGGTGAGGAGCCATTGGCTTTGCCAGATGCACCTGTGCACTTGGCCCATCCCAGGAAGGAGTGTCCAGTGAGGGCCTCTAGGCCAGTGTTGGCAATCCCACCACACCCCAGGGGTGGTGAAATGGGAAGGGACTGGGCCAGGATTGCTGAGACCAGATTGGGTTTCTCCAGGTTTATTTTAGAGATTGCAGGAAAAAAGATCTGAGCATGTTTCCATCCTTTGCAGATTGAACTTATATTCAAAGACGTAAACTGTATGAAAGGGCAGATCTAAAAGCAGAAATGGGCACATCTACAATCCCCATTGAAGAGATATAGGTGTCTTTTTCAGTAAGTAGAACAGATGGGAAAATTAGTAACAATGTAGCAACTTGACCCACTTGATGTAGACAGAATGTTATACCACATCATTAGTGTCTGAGTGCACATAGATACATGCCCAAATGAGGAGACCTTGTACATATGCCTTCAGCTTTCTTACCCAAGCTGAGTGTACCTTTGCTGAGCTTCTTGAGTCCTAGTTTTTCTTGCTTTTAAAGTGAAAATAATGCAATAGTTTGTGTGTGTTTTGTTTGTTTGTTTTATCTCAAAGGGATATGATAAGAAAACATGAATATCTTTTTCAAATCTCCTTACAAGAGTCTTTCAACTCATGGAATGGCTGAGTTACATTGAGTTCCCATAGTCTGGTTCACTTCCCAAATGGCTGCAGTGGCCAGAGCTGAGCCATTGTGAAGCTGGAAGCTAGGAACGTCTTCCTTGTCTCCCACATGGGTGCAGGTTCCCAAGGACTTGGGCCATTCTCCACTGCTTTCCCCGTCACTGGGTTGGGAAGTGAAGCAGCCAGGACATGAGCCAGTGCCCATATGGGATGCCAGTGCTGCAGCAGAGGATCAGCCTGCTTCACTGCTCCCGCCCCTGTGTGTATTTCTGTAGCTACTGTGACTGGGATTGTTCTCATCAAGTTCTTTCTCAGCCAAGAAAGAGCCTGTTGGCCTATCAAAATACTACTGGAGTAATTCAAAACAGTTTGACAAGAACTGGTATTAGCTGTTTCTTGGAGGTTTGGGAGAAGTCATCAGTGAAGGCATTTGGTCCTGAGCTATTGCATTACCAGTTATTTGTTCAAGTGTTCTCTGTGTTTGTGACTCAATTTAGGCAAATTACATGTTCCTGTAGATTTATCAGTTTCTTCCAAATTTCCTGATTTGTGGGTATATGTTCATAAAGTTCTGACTGATTCTATTTCTGTAGCAACCATTGTTTTCGCTTTTGTGTCTCATTCAAGTGACTTTTTAAAAAAAGATTAATTGTATGTATTTGAAATGAAGAGTGACAGAGAGAGTGGCCAAGATGAAGAGATCTTCCATCCCATCTACTTGTTAACTCTCCCAATGGCTGCAAAACCTGAGTCTGGCCAGACCTAAGACAGGAGCCAGTCTTTTTTAATTTCTTTAGAATTGTTTTATTTTCTACTGTATGATCAGTCCTGTTGTTCTATGTGCTGATGAAAAGGATGTGCATTCTACAAGTGTGAGGTGGGAATGTGTACTAGTGTATTGGGTCCACTTGGTCCATGTGTGTATTGAGTTTGCTATTTCTTTTTTTACTTTTTTGTCTTGTTGAATTGTTCATAGATGAAAGTGGTGTTTGAATTAGCCCATTATTATTACTGCTATGTCTCCTTTAGGATCTACTAAACTTGTGTTTCTACAATGGTGCTCTTGCATTAGCTGTGTATGTATTTTCAATGGTCATATTGTCTGTTAAACTGATCTCTTTACCATTATGTAGGATCATGGTCTCTTTTAACAATTTTTGTCTTAAAGTTTATTTTATCTACTATAAGCCTGGTGAATCCCTGCTCACTTTCAATTTCCATTAACATGGAGTATCTTTTTTTTTTTTTTAGGATGTATTTACTTTTGGGCCAGTCATGGTTTCAAAACAGCTAAATTCCTCACCTTTAACACGTCTGGATCGCACATGGGCACCAGTTCTAATCCTGGCTGCTGCACTTCCCAACCAGCTCCCTTCTTGTAGCCTGGGAAAGCAGTTGAGGATGGCTCAACGCCTCTGGAACCTACACCCCCATCGGAGACCTGGAGGAAATTTCTGGCTCCTGGCTTCGAGTTGGCACAGCTACAGCCATTGTGATCACTTGGGCAGTGAATCATCGGACAGAAGATCTTCCTCTCTGCTTCTTCTCCTCTCTCTATATATGACTTTGCAATACAAATGAAGAAATCAAAACAAAAAAGATTTTTGCTTTTTATTGGAAAGTCAGATTTACAAAGAGAAGGAGAGACAAAGATCTTCCATCCCCAAGTGGCGACAGTTGGCCATCCTCAACTACAAGCCGCTTAATAGGAAGTGGAACACCCAGGATATGAACCAGCACCCATGTGGGATCCAGGTGCATGCAAAGTAAGGACTTTAGCTACTAGGCTACCATGCTGGGCTTATTAACTTTTCGCATTCTTTCACTTGCACTCTATTTTAACTGATGAAGTTTGTTTCTTGTAGGCAGCCTTTGCATATTACTGGGTCCTTTTATTATTTTTTAAAATTCATTCATCTAATCTGTGTTTCTCAGAATTGAGTCCATTTGCATCCAGTGTACAATTACTTGGTAATGAGTTGGTCCTGGTTTTTTTTCTTAATTTCTTGTTTTTTCAAATGTTTGTTGTTGTTTTCCTGTAGAAGTCACATTTTCACAATGAAAGTAGCCTGTTTGCTTTATTTTTTTTTTAAAGATTCATTTATTGGAAAGTCAGATATACAGAGAGGAGGAGAGACAGAGAGGAAGATCTTCTGTCTGATAATTCACTCCCCAAGTGAGCACAACGGCCAGTGCTATGCTGATCCAAAGCCAGGATCCAGGAACTTCTTCCGGGTATCCCACGTGGGTGCAGAGTCCCAAGTCTTGTGCTGTCCTCAGTTGCTTTCCCAGGCCACAAGCAGGGAGCTGGTTGGAAAGTGGAGCTGCCAGGATTAGAACTGGCGCCCATATGGGATCCCAGCGTGTACAAGGTGAGGTCTTTAGCCACTAGGCCACACTGCTGGGCCCGTCTGTTTGCTTTTGTATACAATATTTCCTTAATTATCCTTTGTAATTCTGATTGGATAGTGATAAAAAAATCTTTATATTGTGTTTGTTTTATAAAGTATTTCACTTCATTCATGAAACAAAACTTCACTGGAAACGTATTTTTGGTTGATAGGTTTTAATTTTTTTAATTTCAAAACAGATTTTCTCTCCATTCTTCTTCTCTCCTGGCAGGTCAAGTCTTGAGTGCAGGTTTTAATTTTTTTAATTTCAAAATATGGATTTTATTTCTGCATTCTTTCCTGGTCTTTAAGTTTTCTGTTGAGAAATCTGCTGCCAGTCTAATGAGTTCATTTAAAAATCACACAATTTATAATTCCATGTGCTGTGCATTTGAAAGTTTGATTATAATGTATTAAATAAGGGTTTTTTCTGTTCATTTGAGATTCTGTCACCTTCATATATGTGGGTTTCCATATATTCCAAGTTGAAGCTTTCCTCTGTTGTTTCATTGAATAGGTTCTTTCAATTTAAAGATTTTATTTGTTGGTTTGAAAGGAAGAGACAGAGAGAGGTTCCACAAACTTGTTTGCTCCCCAAATTGCCACAGTAAAAGCCAGAACCTGGAACTCCATCTAGATTTTCCACATAAGTGGAACAGAACTAAAAGTGGAGTAGATAGGAGTTGAATCAGCTCCTGTATTGGATGTGTCACATGTAGCTTAACCTACTTGGCCACCACACCAGCACCCGACTAGGTTTTCTGAGCCACTCTTTTTTTGTTTGTTTGTTTTGTGTTGGGGGTCAGAAATCCAAAATTTAAATATTGATTTGTGTATTATAGTCAAGAGATATCGAGCACTGTTGCATTCTTTCTTTCTTTTTTTCTAACCAATATTTCAAAAGATACCTTCAAGATCAGCTGTTCTTTCTTCTGCTTGATCTGAAGACATTTATACACTGTGCGGTTCCCTCACTTATTTTTCTTAAAAATTTGTTTATTTTATTTGAAAAATTACACAGAGAGGGGCAGGCTGAGAGAGAAAGATGTCTCCTATATGTTGATTCATTTCCCATATGTCCACAATGGCAGGGCTCAGCTAGACCAGAGCCAAGAGCAAGGAGTTTCCTTTGGATCTCCCAGGTCATCTTCCATTGGTTTGCAAAGTACATAGGCTAGGTAGCCAAGACTTGACCTGGTGCCCGTATGGGATGCCTACATTGCAAGTGACAGCCTGATCCTTGGTGCTAGAATACCAGCCCCAACATTTGTATTTTTTAATTTGACTTATTGAGTTCTTCCATTCCTATTATTTCTATTCATTCCTTTTCAGTCTCATTCTCTTTGCTGAATTTCTTATTCAAACCATATACTGATTCCTAATTTTGTTTAACTGTGTACTGGTATTCTCTTCTGTCTGTTGGAATAGCCATATAATGATTCCTTTGACTTTTTTCTGAGGAGTCATTAATTTATTTGAAAGAGAGTGAGACAGAGAGAACGAATACTGAGATCTTCCACTCACTGATTGATTCCCCAGATGGCCATGGCAGTCAGGGCTGAGCCTGCACAGTCAGGATCTTCCTCCAGACCCCTACCCCCCAATGCCAGTGTCACACACAGTGGATTAACGCGTTGTATCACAGCATCAGCCTCCCCTTTGAATTCTTCAGCAGGCATTTCATCTGTTTCTCCTCACGTCTTGATTTCCTCAAGTGTTATTATGCTCATCTGGGGTGATGCTGTGGGCCAGTGTAGTTGCTGGGAACCCTGTGATACATACAGGTCTCCAGTGATTTCCTGAGGGAAGTTTTGGAGTGAGGAGCTTCTCAGGTATTGTGGACAGTTCCTGCTGGTATAGCAGGTGGCCCTGGCATAGAGGCTTCCAGCAAACACAACTGAGATCAGCACTGACTCCAGGACTAGGGTGAGCTCACAGACGCCCGAAGTCACTAATGCTGATTGGGAGAGGCAGGTTCCCCAGATGCTTTCTGAGTAAATGGATCTGAGAGAAAGATGTGGTGCTGCAACAGAACAGGAAGTATTCCCAGGCACTCTGCATGGGCCATGTGGTGAGATGGGAGCAGGGGGACAGAGACAGTCTGTGGGTACTGAATCCCCAGCCTGGAGCTGCAGGCAAGAGGAATCCTTGCAGGGGCAGGGAAACTTGCCAGCTTCTGGGCCTGATGCAAAACCCTAGAGGTTAAATCCTCACCTTGCATCCACTAGGATTGTCTATGGGTGCTGGTTTGTATGCTGGCTGCTCTGCTTCCCATCTGGCTCCCTGCTTGTGGCCTGGGAAAAAAGTAAAGGATGACTCAAAGCCTTGGGACCGTGCATCTGCATGGGAGACACAGAAGAAGCTACTGGCTTTGGATCAGGTCAGCTTCAGCCATTGTGGCCATTTGGGGAGTGAACCAGCAGATGAAAGATGGTTCTCTGTATCTCTTCTCTCTAGATATGCCTTTCCAATTAAAACAAACAAATAAACAAAGAACTTACCAACTTCTGTTGGAAAGGCTAAATCTCTTAGGACCAAAGGTGGGCCTGAGTGAGGCACAGAAACCATGGGAGGATCCCTAGCAAGTCCAAATACTGGTTTAGTGAAAACATGGAAACTTGGGCCAAAACCTACCCTCCCCCCCACCTTTTTTATGATTACTTCTTTGAAGGAACACTCCCCAAATGGCTGAGCTGGGACAAAGCTAAGAGCTTGGAACGCCAGGCGGGACTCCCCCATGGCTGCAAGATCCTAAGGTGTTGTGCTGTGCTCTGCTGCTTTCCCAGGCACATGAGCAGGGAGCCGGATGGCAAGTGGAGCAGCCAGGACATGAACTCCTGCTCATATGGGGTTCAAACATCACAGATGGTGGCTTAAATGGCTGCACCACACCTCCAGTCCATGCTGGCCCTTTGCTGTTCTGTGGTTGGGAGTAAGCTAGGTGCAGTATCAAGCGTGACTGCACATCTTCCCTCCCAAATGTGCATTGTCCAGAACATGGACACACTCTAATGTGTGCTCAGACCCTACTCTAAAAACTCTCCCTTGGTGTCCCTACTCAAAAAACAGCTTTGGGTCTCAGAGGTAAAATTGTACAACACAAAGGACCCCTGAGTATCAGTATGTACATGTTTCAGCAGCAATGAGTGATGCTTTGAGTGGTCAGTGGAAGTGGCAAAGGGCACAGGGGATGATCCCAGAGTAGAAAAGGGCAGGCACCCCTACTTCTAGGTTCCTTGCACTGAGATTTGCAGCAGCTGTGTGAGCTGTGATGTTAGGGTGACCCCTGCTCTGTTGGACCCGTGAGCCTCAGTCTTCTTCATGCAGGACTGTTTGCAGGGTTTATGAGAGAAAGATACACCAAGGCTTCTGTCTTAGCATAGCATGGCTTCTAACAGTGACACCTCCCTGCCTCAGCCTGCACACTCTGAGGGTCAGGGGAGGACATGTTCCTCACTTCTCTGGGACAAAGCTGCTGTGTTTCCAAGGGAGCCCTCCTTACCAAGCTTCTGGTCTGTGCTGACTGGATTGCTGTCGGGCAGGTGTTGCCCACTTTGGGGGTTCAAATGGTGGGCTGTGTGGGTGCTCCCTTGCTCAGCCTTTCCCCTGTAGGAGGGAATCCCACTGGCTCTGGGGCTCCTACCTGGATTTTGTTGCCCTCTTCTGTGCTGGTGTGTCTTGGTGTCCTGCCCTCCACCCACTGTCCCATTAATGCTTTCAGGTGCTGGCCCTTGGGCACTCAACCTTGACATGTAGCTGATTTGGATCTTCTTGGTGGAGGTAAGTGCTGAACTCCTCTATTTGGCCATCATGAAATGCTTTTTTTTGTCTAATATGGTGGTGTTTGATCCACATCTGCACAGTTACTGATGCAGCCGAGTATCAGTCTTAGTAGACTCCTTGTTTTCTCTCTGACTCAATGAGTTCTCCTTTTCTGACTTCCGTGGGGTCACATTTTAGTATTCAATTTTATCTCCTCTGATGGCTTTAACCTAATTTTCTTAGTAGTCACAGTGTTCCATAAGTTAATGACATGCTATTTCATATATGATGTATACAAACCTTTTAAAAATATCCGTCCCCTCAGCTGTAGACAACTTGCCAGCCTACATTATTGAACCTCAGCAAGTGTTATACTGCCGGGAGCAAAAGAGCCAGTGGCGGGTGGGCACTCTGGTGCTGGATAATGTCAAATCTGTATTAACTATACCAGCATGCCAGCAGTTACCTATTTATACTTTTTAAAGATATGTGTGGATGTGGGGAACACCAGGCTGGGACACACAATCCCGGCCCTCAGAATGGGGGTTGGGGGAGAACTGCAGATTGCCCAGGGAATTGTGTCTGGAAATATTGGTATATGTGCTGCTGAAGGAAGCACCTAAGAGCACGCTGGATTGGGAGGACCTGAAGGCATGTATGACAGGGAAGGAATGACATGTGGGATCTTCCACAGATAGGTCACTGCACTCACAGATAGACGAGGGAGCCAAGACTAGGTGGTTTGGAGGGGGGAAGTTTGGAGGACATGATTGAATCAGGAGCAAGGCACCTGCCCACGTGGGAGACATGAGCTGTGCTAAACTGTATCACCTGTCGTCTGCTGGCAGATGGAAAAGCTGAAGCTGCAAGTCATGCCTGTCTCTGCTAGGCTGAAGTATTTACCCATGAGTGTTAGGGCTGGAGGTGAGCCATAGCACTCACCAGAGTGCTAGAGGACTGGCTCTGGGAGCAGAATCTGCAGGGCCTTGAGCTCGTGTCTATGAGATTGTAGCAACCACTGGTTGACATGGAGAGCTGGGTTTGATGATGGACGAAGGAAGGCTGGACTATGGAACTCAACTGACACTCACTGGAGCCAGGGCTGGGAGGATGTCAGGATGGGCCAGGTTACAGTACCTGCTGGCACATGAAAATACCAGAACTGAGGGCACACCATGCCAAACAGGATCATGGAATCCACTAGCATGCATGTGATCTGGGGTTGAGGGGGAAGACACGTAAGGGGACTCCTGCACTAGGCTGCAGCTTCTCCTAGGAAGCATGATCACTGGGGCTGGCTGCAATACTCATCAACATTTGAGTGGCCCAGAGTTGTGGGCAGGCTGAGCTGAGGCAGGCCTCAGCACCCACAGGTACGCCCAAGAGCCAAGACATGGTGTGGACTGCATCCAGTTGGGCTAAGTTGCAACACCTGGCAGCAAGAGCTGAGAGTGCAGTTGGACCGTACCAGGTTGGTTTGAAGCACTTACAGGATATTACAAGTCCAGGAACTTAGAATGGGCCTGGTAGGGGATCTTTGAGGACTCCCTTGCTAGGCTGCACCTTCCATGGGTGAATGCAAGAGCTAGGGCTAGTGGTAGTGGTAGAGCAGGCTGAGAAAGGCTGCAACAACCATTGGTATAGTGTGGGCCGGGTTTGGCTGGTTTGGCTACTTTTGGCTAGGCTCCAGCAACTCTGGCACTTGCAAGAGCCAGAATGAGTGTAGGGCAGGCTGGGCTAGGCTGCAGCACACACCGACTAGTGTGAGGACTAGGGACCAGCCATGTGCATCTGAATTGCTGTCAGTCTCGCCATTCCGAACACAATGAAATCTCTCCAGAATCCACTGACTGGCACCATTGTGTGCTGGGGTCTAGCCCAGTGTGGCACACCCAGCCCCAACCCACATGTGTGCCAGAGTATGCTGCAGCCTTATCTAGACCAGAACATGGCTCCTATTCCAGCCCTGTGCTTACCAGTGGGAACCACAACCTAACCAGGGTGTCCCCTTGCTCCCCACGTATATTCCCAGCTATGGTTGCTCTGACCCAACTTGGCCTGATCCCTCAGCTGTCATGACCTTTGCTTTTCGATGCTGAAGCCTGTCCTGACCCAGCCTAAACCAAGTCTCGCCACTCGCTGGTGGGTGCTAGAACTTGGCCCTGCTCTGTCTGCTTCCTTATCAGTTTCATGCAATCTGGTATGTGTGACAACCTAGCTGAACATGACCTGTGTTCCAGCCTGGTTTCTGCCCTTGCTGTTGAGGAAAGGTTGGCTTGACCTTGCCCGGTCATTCCTCTTCAAAGCCAACCCACACATTAGCCAACAGTTGGAGTTACCCTGCTCAGGCTCACGTGTTTCATGCCCAATACCCAGGCATGAAGCATGTGCTCACCAGCAGGAGCTGTGACCCCCAATAGGTTCTCAAGGTTCCCAAGTTCGCCTATTAAGTACTCTGTGACAAAGAGCTCACATGCTCCAGCAGATGTTAGGTCGTTGCCCGGCATAGCCTGCCACTTGTCTTAACCTTTGTATGAGCTGGAGGATATTGCAGCCCGGCCTACCTCACACATCATACCCTGTGGTAGGATGCATGTGTGGGGGCTGCAGCCTGGACCTGCCCATGCTGTCACCATCCCCAGCACTTATGAGTGTTGGTGGGTTCCATAGTATTTCCTAGCTCAGTTCATATCCACCGCAACTCTTCAGCTAACCAATGGGACTTGTATTTCCACAGGGTTGGGCCCATTTATGCCCCACAGAATCTACTCCAGGACCTGGTTCTCTCACGTGCTGATTGGTGTCATGACAATTCCTAATGTGACTCACCCCTATTCCAACACTTAGTCATGTCCTGGGATCCAACCCTGCCAGACAGGCCCTCAGCCATGTAGACTGGCATGTGGCAGTCAACAATGCTCAATGTTAACAACCCATCTCAGGACTCCAAGTGGGCTGATGAATCAGTCTGACCCAAACAGATCATACCAACTCTCCCCTTTGAACGGCTAGGTCTCAGTTCCCCACACTTGCCAGCAAGATTGGTGACCCCGTTGTTGGGAGTCACACAGGATTCGTCCCTCCCCTACACACACATTGGCTTTATCCATTGCTGTCTTTAGTCAGCAGTTACATACCCAAGAAAACACTAGAGCTTGTCATCAGGCAGCCAGCAGTTAGAGCCTGGCATGCAAGGGCTCACTGGCCTCCCAACAGCCAGGACTCGCTCACTGCATGGTGATGGTGTTCATCCGCTGGGTCCCAGGCATTGGGTCCGACCTGGCTTGGGTACTGTGTGCAAGCAAGCCACCATGCTGTGGAGGGCTGCTGTCACCCAAGCTGCCAAAGTCGAACTCGGACATGCATTATCTTTTATTGACATTTTCCCTACACATCTTTCATATTATGCTTTTAATATTTATTCATTTGTATTTGAAAAGCAGAGCTACAGAGAGAAAGAGAGATCTGCCATCTGCAGATTCACTGCCCAAATGGCTGCAACAGTTAGAGCTGGGCTATCTGAAGCCAGGAGCCAGAAGCTTCTTCTGGGTCTCTCATGGGGGTGCAGGTTCCCAAGGTCTTGCCCCATCCTGTGCTACCTTGCCAGGTCATGAGTAAGGAACTGGGTAGGAATTGGAGCAGCTGAGACTTGAACCAAGGTCCGTAGGTGATCCTGGTACCACAGGCAGAAGTTTCACTAGTTATGCCACAGCATTGGATCCTCATCATACTCTTATACAATGAATTGAACGTGTTAAACAATTCTCTCACTGCTGGAGTCTGTGTGATGGGTGTGGAAGACAGGAAGGTGTGAGGAGAACTGTTCCATTGTAGGCAGGGGAGCAAGGAATTTCCCGCTGTATGGTAGGGCCCGGAGGATGTCACTACATCCACCCGAATTGCAGCTCCACCTCCCTTTGCATGGACACCGGACAGCCCCGCTGAGATTTCTATAGTTTATTTAGGCATTGTCTGCCTCTGCGGAATTAATGTTTACTATCAATGTGAGCTTGGAAGTTGATGTTGCTGATACCGTTTTAGCCACAAGGCCTTTCATTATTGCTCTCTCGGCTGCCCCCATTGATCAAGGGTGTTCTTTCCCCAGGTGTAGTGGGAATCTATTCTTTCCCTGTTTCTATGATCCTTAGTCCCTTCGTTCTGTGATGCATTTCCTCCCTTAACTGATTCAAGACTAAGCTGTAGAATGAGGATTGTAGTAGGAATGTGTTACTGATTGATATGCACCATCTATTGAGAACTTCCTAACCATGGCGCCAGGATGGATAACATCCTGCTTTAAGGTGGAACAAGCTGCAGAATTATCCTTAGAAACACCCACTTGACCATGACATAAAAAGTCTGAGCCAGAGTTTGACTGTGTAAATAAAGCAGACAGCTTTCATGCATTGTCCATGATGATCATGGAATCCTAGGCTCCGTCTATTTTCTTTACGCCTTATCCATGCACCCTTCTTGAGTTCCGGAATCAGCTGGAGCTGGACTCCGGCATCTAAGTGAAAATAAAAATACTGGCTGCAGGTGTTTTTTCAGTGCTCTAAGGAGCTGGCAGGAGAATCAATAACCCTCAAGGGAAAAATGAAGTAAAAGCCAAAATCCCGAAGGCAACCTCTGAGCTACTGCGATTGACACCTGGTTCCCTGGAGCCCTTGTTCAGCCGGCCAGAGAGCTGCAGGAGGAAAAATATAGTGTAGGGCCTGGTCAGTGGGGAAGGACAGTGGGAGCCCTCCAAGTAAAGTGAGTCCCATAGGGCCGTCCTGTCACGAACAAAGCACATACCCACTATGCAGCTGCTGACGAAGAGGGAATAGCTGACAACGATTTTGAAAATCCTCCTGCTTTTCTAGCCTTCCACACACACGGTGCAAAAGCCTCAAGCTGAAAGTGTGCATTTCAGTTGCTCCTCTCTGGAGCAGCACACCTTCCATCTTGGCTTCCAAGAACTCCCACAGGCAGAATCCCAGGAAACACAGAATCAAAATTAAAACTCATGAAACAGG